GCTTTATTTTCCAAAAATCCAAATAGTTGATCAGTTCACGAAGAATCCAAGTTTCTTTCTATAATGAGAAATTCGACATATTTTTTAGGAACATTACGCAAATAAGATGTTCCATCAATCCTGAAAGTAGACAATGCGTGATGAGTAACATTCACAAAGAAGCTGAACGCATTGAACTACCCACGGTTCCACCAGCGTGCTACGGAGATTAAAGTTTGCCAAGCGAAAATTCTCGTTCTTGAAGAATACACCTTTCGAATTTACTGACAATCAGCAGCAATCGCGAAAAAGATTGATATCTATCAATATTTGATTAGTACGGTCGCCTATTTATTATTTGTAACATAACTCGCGTTGTACATGCATACACAATTTCAAATTATTTTTTTTTTTTGTTCCTGACACAAATGTTTTTGAAATATCGGCCGCGAAAGAAAATAAAGATTCTTGTTTCCTTTGTATAATTCCACTTTCATTTTTGGAAAATGAATGATGTGTACGACAATGGAAATGCAACTCATCGGATACAAGGCGCCGATTGGTTAGTGTTCTATTAGTCGCGCGTTTTTCCCTGTGCAGCGGCCTCTAGGCTTTGCCGATTTTGTTATAACACTCCTTTTGTCTCATCTGTGGTTTGCAACTTCATCGTTCGATTATTGCCTTTTGAGAGAAACAAACACAAGAAAAGATAAAAAAAGATCATGGATGCAATTACTAATCGGCAAATCAGCTCCTTCTAAAATAGGTTCGCTTGACACGAACTTGCGCCATAATAGATGGCAACAGGTTGAGGTCATACCTTTATTTCACACATTCATTCTAAGCATGACGTTCGAGTGCATTGTCGGAATTATGACCGTTCAGCCTGGCGATGGTTACCTGATGCATACTCGTAATCATAAGTTGTGATGGCCGGAATAACGCGTGAGGCAAAAAAAAAAAGAAATGGTGATCCGATTGGTTGAAACGGTAAATACCGGAAAAGTAAATTTTGTGTCGCGTCAAAGTTTTGGAGAACAATATCTATCTACAGTATCTACAGATACCTTTTGATGTCATCTCAAAAAAAAAAACAAACATCTTGATTGTAAGTTGACATTTCACACTGATGAACGTTAGCTACAAGTTTTGATCCCGTAATAATCCGTTTCCTAGGCTTTTGCATACTGTATTCGAATCAGATAAGCCTACATACATACCCACGCAAAGCCAATTGCGTGGGCGACCCAGCACAGATTACCTTCGACGCAACCCCGTTCTCATTCAGCTGCTTGACGTATCGTGGTAGTACACTTCTGAGTGATAAGAAAGCGCAACGTGAAAGTGTGTAAAAACAAATAAAACAGCAGGTTTCGATATTCAGATATGTAATTTTACAAACATCCGTGAAACATTCCCGTCGAACGCAGCATGTGGTCGATACACATGTACATGCATATGTAGATGTCCGCCTCAATAGGATAAATGATTTTGGAAATTGGGCGAAAACTTTGTACTTTCTGTACGTACCCACGTAGTGGTCTCCCCGCTTGCGAAAAACACATTGTTTTTTCTACCATTATTAGATTTCTTGACGCCAGTTAAAATATCAATTTAGGATAATTGAAACAGTAAACCTTTTGTTTCTTGACTTTCTTGACACACTCTTTCGAACCTTGGTTATTATTATAAAGCGGTTCAAACCATCATCATCCGTGAAATGATTATCTCAAGCTTGTACCGTAGAAGGCATTATTACGTGTAACACCTCCTATTCAACAGACAGCAATTTGTACGTGGGGAATACTATGAGTGAAATTTCAGACGGCCATTTGATGATAATAATCAGTAATCTCATTGTATTATGCATTGTGCAAGAGAATAATACTAAGGTTAGTATTGATTAACGTTGAAAATCCGTATCACAATAACATGGACAAATTCAATGTCTGCCTAAATTGTTCGAAAATCGACCCTGACGGCTTATGTTTTAAGTTAAAATCGACAATTCCCAGTACGAAGGAATTTAACCCGTTTAGTACAATTTCCGGTATCCGGTCCTGCGCCCACTTTACATTAAATTAATTCGTAAATTGAACTTTGTGTGAATTCCATGATAATGCACGATATGCGCGAGCACCCCTGTGTCAAGGAAAGCGTCAGATTTCTCGATAAAGTCGGTCATTGTTAAAATTACTTTTTATTTATTTCATGTTTTTTAAAAAATAATTTTTTTACCTAATGCAAAACTATCAACACAATCAACTATTACTGTCATTATCACATTATACCTTTGTGCCAAAGAACATTTTATGGGGGAAAAAATTTTACGTCAAATCAATCGGCTCCAATGTTCTACCCACTATTATTGTTGTTTTCCAAAAATTCTGTTAGGCAATCGAGCACTCGATCATTCTTAATATGCAATACTCTCATAATAGATATTTCCAGCGTCGCAGTACTCGCAATGACCAATTCGCTTTCTCTTCACCTGTTCGTTAACCAAATCTTCGTCAACATCATCAATTCTTCTTTTCGCATGATCCAAAAGGTCGCATCCTTGGTGGTGAAATGGTATGAGGTTTCCAGAGTTGTAAAAATTTGGTGGTTCGAGAGATGCGATCGATCCGGTAAGCATTTTTAAACAAAATGAGCAGAGAATGGCGTGAATATGTTTATTGATTTCGTATTCCTAAAGAATTTTTTCCTTTCGTTTAGATAAGGACAATCCATTGTCAAAAACAACATAATCAACTTCAACATAACTTGCCATATTACAAGTACCGTCATATCCCAATGCTCGTTTGTGCTCTGCAAAATATGACGTCGAGATTCTCAGGTGAACCTCGGAGGTCCTGAAAAAATTGGTGTCTCCATCGAGTTCTTGAAATAAAGCGGCCAACTCACCATCCTCCTGAATACCTTTGGTCTCCTTTTCCTTTCCCAACCGCTCTTGAAACAGAGTGATCAATTCTCTATTTTGTTGTAACAAGTTAACTAATTTCGCTTTGGTTTCGAAATTTCTAATATCATCGATCATTCCAGATCGCCTGGCATCGCTTATTGAATGCGGACTTAAAAATGTTTCGAAAATATCGAAGAAGATAGCATTGCCGTGATTATTACCACTTCTACCGCGCAGTCTGGAAGCATCACGACTACCTTTTCCCGAAAGTGTATAATTACTCAGTTTAAGAAAATTCGGTGCATTGCAATCGAGACAAAAAGATCCTCGATCCTTGCAACTAGTATCAGAGGAATTGTGACCGTCGCTTTCAAGCATGTGATGATCAATACTCATCTTACCCATTTTTTTTACTGAAATATGGGCTGAAAAAATTCAAGATATTCAAATTGACAATTGCATATGGTGAAATCGACGTGCGGGTGAAATAGAATCGGGATCGAAGAGGATCGATGGGTTTTCCATTTCGAATATTAAAGAAAGAACTGCGACTGTAGGAATTCGCGGGCATGTAATGTCGAAGCTTTGTCATACTTGATGTGAAAAAAAAAGTTTGAACATGAGATCGTACGTTGTGTGAGGCATCAGTGATGTGATTATAAAGTAATCACAGCTATGATCAACTAACGTTAGTATTTGCAAGAAGGTTAATTGACAAGTCTGTTTTAATCGATAGGCTATTATTAATTTATCTAAATGTAGAAATACGCCTAACTAAAATACAATGATTCATTTACGTATCACACTATAAAAAATCCATTCTATCATCATGCTCATCATATACGACACAGGACGTTGTCATTTCTCTCACTTCCATATTTTTGTGTAAGCAATTCGACTGTTTGATTCATTTACTTATAATCATATAAATATAATGATAATTACATAACAATTCAAAAAATCCGAAAAATATAACCTTAATGATATTTGTAAATTCAGTTATACTCAACGCATTACTACCTTTTACGAAATTTCTTACCTACGTATGGCGTAATTCTATGAGTGAAGCAAGTCATTAAATTTAATCTAAACAAAATAAAATAAAATATACTTGTATTTTTTAATATTTTTTAATAAATTTTAATAATCGAAAGAATCCAAATCCTTCAATAAAACATTTTACACATTTTTATTTTAAAACATACATAAAATATGCATATTGGTTTATTACTTATTGTAATAGATATATTTAAAAAAAATAGAAAAATAGAAAAAAAAATTTTTTTTATTTACAGATAGAATCATTTGCATCATATAATTAATTGAACAAATTTTTTAATATCTTTGTAAAAGAATATATTAATAAATTAATTGAAAAACAAAGATTATATTTATATATATATAATATTATTACAATATATGTATGATCCTAAAAATTGGAATCAAATAAATTTGTATAAATTTGCATAAGGTTTAAAACAATATTAAAAATGATGATGAATTATAATTCACATATTAAATTTAATATAAACCTAAAAATTAATAATTGAATTGAATTGAATTATTAAAATCCTTAGTCTTGCTTGATAGTTTTATCCTTAGCTTTGATAACTTAAGCCAATTGAATTCTTTGAAATATCTATTAGAAGATTTTAAAGTTATATTTTACTTGACTCTTGAAACATTTGGATTTGATAGTTTGTGTCAACCAAAAATTACAGTTTCAAAATATTTATTAAAAAGTATATATTCATATTAGCCCATCTGTTCTTATGACTACATGAACAAAAGTTATAATATAAAAAATTATTTATTAAATATTAATATGCATTTAGTTTACTTTTTATTTATTTTTTTATAAATTATATAATCTGTCATATAATTATCTAGATAGTATATTGGTTTTAAACTTTTTTTTATAATATAGTTTAGATAAATAGTTTAATAAATTAGTATTTAACTTATATATTTTGAGAAATGTAAATTCTTGTTAACCATATATTATAATAAAAAATTGATATTTATCAAAAAAATAAAAAATAAAAAATTTATTAAAATAAAATTTAAAATTTAAAAATTTATTTATATAAAATTAATAATTAAATTTTTTGCTTTTTTTTTAATTATTATTATTATTATTATTTATAAGTAAACATTATTACTTTATTAACACTAATTCAAATTGGATTATTCAACTGCCAAATTACAACCGATTAAATCCAAATTTATTAATAAAAGTTTATACAAAGTTTTGTTGTTTGATTCAATTTATATCATTTGGCACTTAAAAAAACTCAATAATTTGGCAAAAAAAAATATAACATTTGGCAATAAAATCATTTGGCAATAAAAATCATTTGGCAATAAAATCATTTAGCAATAAAAATCATTTGGCAATAAAATCATTTGTCAAAAAAATATTTCTAGTTAAAAAATATTCAGCAATAAAGTTAACAATATTCTGTAATAAAAATTATTATTATTATTATTATTATTATTATTATTATTATTATTATTTTTTTTTTTTTAAAAAATATTGTTTTATATTG